TCCATCGCTTTGGCCTTTTGGCACACGCTGTGTTTGCTGGCGCCGCGCCTGGCTTTTGAATCACCAGCGGTGCGTGCTGCGAAGCACCCGCCCTTGAAGGTGGCGGTGGTGCCGTGGCGACATCTTGGGGCGGTGGCCCTTCCTCGTCAGAATCAAGCTGCTCAGCTGAGTCGCTGATTGCTGCAGTTGTGCGTTGCCGCTTCGCTGGGGGATCCTCAGCTTCACTCAAATCGCTGGCTTCACTGACTTCAAGAGTGGCAACTACGGCATGCCTATCCTTGTCTTCTGTATTATCTAATTCTTCTCCTAAATGTTTGGGGCATTGTGTCTGCGGACTTTCTGAGCCGTTTGCTTTGGTCAAGAATGAACGAATGCCCCGTTGACCTAAGTTGAATGCAACAGCGGGCCGTCTCATGGTGATATCATCAAATATTTTATACATAAATAGTGTATAAGCTCCAAATGTTCAGTTTTATATGTGCAGAAGGCATTTGGGGCGACTTATGGCCGAAGTAATGAACCAGTACGGCCAACTGACCAATTATTCCATTTCTTCCAGGCTCAGACCCCCATTTATTCCCAAAAAAGTAATATATTACCAAAAAAAACACTGACGGGGACTGACGAAATGTCACAATAACATGATAAGTTAAAGTCCTACGGGATCTCAAATAACCAAGTATCCTACGTAGTGTACGGGATATGCCGGGGGCGCCCGAGGACGTTCGCTCGAAGGGTGGAGGAATATAAGAAGGGTTCAGGTCCCTTGGCATCTCCCTGAGTAATCTTTGCCCGGTGTTACAGGGAACAGCAACGTGCTACCACCGCCATCATCTTGTAGTATCCTGGGTATCACGGGATCTGTCATCCGCCGATCGGTTCTTTTCTGCAAAAAGACGTGGTACAACAGATCTGCTGCTAACGAGTCATGTTTAATGGCCTCGGTATTGGCCGCGGTATTGCCGCGGCGGTATTGCCCTGCCTTTGGAAGGTGCATGAATAAACTCAAAAAAGTTTTTCCAGGGCTTGCCATGCATAGCGCATGTACGGCTAAATATGGACTACTGCTGATGATGCATGCCCAGCTATGCCTACATATAGCACTGCTCCACGCCAGGCATAAATCCGTCACGAAAACGCACGCTACACGTATGTAGGCTTGCCCACATGAGGAATTGTCTTACTGTGTAATGGGTGTGGTTGAGGGTGCTCCAGCCTATGTTGTGATGGGACTTACGAGAAATGGTACGAATACGATGAGTTGAATGAGGCACGATTACCAATAGAAAGCTTACAGGAGCAAATTCCAGGTACAAGACGACGAACGCTTTTGAGTTTGTTACACAAGCACAACTCATCAGATAGCTTTAAAGCTATCGTCGTCTTGTACCTGTTTTGTGCCTTGGTGGCCGAAAGGCTGACTTCTTCGCCTGGTTTGCCAGGGATGCTTTGGGAAAATCCTGAGCTTTGTAGTCGGAAAAGACAAGCTACATTAACGTGTTCCTCTCCCTCTTGTGCCTCTCTCCTTCCTCTCTTAACGCTCTCTCCTTTCCCTGAACACGTCTCCGCTCCCTCCTCTCTGTAGTATCCTGGGTATCACGGGATCCAAATTCACTGATCAATTCTTTTCTGGAAAAGACGTGATACAACACTCTCTCCTTTCGTCCCTTCTCTCCCTTCTGTCCCTCCTCTCCCTCGTCTCCCTCTTCTTAATTCTCTCCGTTCTCTCCCTCACGCTCTCCTCCATCCTCGGCGAGTAGTCCTCGCATTCCTTTTCCCTCCTCTCCCTCCTCTCAATTCCCTCCCTCGTCTCCTTGTGGACGATTTGCTGATAATGTTGCAGATGAACTTCCCATTATTAAGGTTT